AAATGTTTTGAGAATGATGAGGGCAGTGAATGTACAAATGCGCTTTACACAATTGAGGTGTGTATGGATTGTGATAAGAGTTGTATGAGCCCCTAATAAAATGATTTTTTAAAAATAAAGAAAAAAAATAGGGTTTTCTAGCCTCTATGTAAACAAGGAAACATTCTAATGAATGGCAGTGTTCTGCCACAGATAAAACAATTGCACATTGCACTAACAGTGCTCATCTGAGTAGGGAGGTACTGCTTAGTTAACATGGCTACAACTGATTCTAAATCATGATAATCACTAATCTGCCACACATCGTCCTCTGATTCAGGTGTCCTTTAAGACTCTCCTATAATGTAAAATTCTCCTTGAAATTGTGCACGACACTGCACAGAAATAAATATCAAGCTAGAGTTAAAAACAATTCACTGCCATCAAGTCCATTGCATCCCATAAAGACCTGATAAGACAGGGTCGAGCTGGCCCTGTGAGTTTCCAAAACCGTGCCTCTTTACCAGAGCAGAAAGTCCCAGCTTCCTCTCGCAAGCTACCATCAAACTATTCAGAATAAATACAGACATTTCTTAAATTTCAATATAGATAGCCACAATCAATTGACCGATCAAAAATGTGTGCATACCTGTATCCTTTATTACAGATAATATATAGATACATATATATATATATAACTTTTGTTAAAAGTAATCAACCTGTGCACGTCTGAACTAGAACCCTAATAATACTTTCAGATTTTCCCACTTCCACCTGTACAACCACATATGCATTCACACACAAAGGGGTCTTCAATTCATGGTAAAATTTCATTATTGTTTTCATTTCAGTTCTTCACTAACTTTCTGAAGTCTAAAAGTATCTCTATTAAAGTTCTACTATATACATGCATGAGCATATTCCAAGTAAACATTGCTTTAACCTTAAACATAATTCTGACCAGTGGGTGACTGCAGATAAAATTTTCTTAATAACACACTTCTCTTAGTCTTACTAGAGTGCCGTCATACAGCTTGTTTAATCAAAACAGTGGTTTCTGAGAATATCTGCTGAGCCAGTGAAATTCACAGTAGAGAAGTCAGCTCAGAAGGTTATAGGGACTGTTATTGGGGGCAGGGGGGATTTAAATAAGTAATTTTGGTAGATTTCCTCGGACATAAGACAATCACTGTGAGTAGTGAGGAAGACGCTTTAAGGAACCTGGAAGTGAGTAAAAGGCCAGGAAACCTGTGCTCTGGAATCTCTTCCCATCACTCCAAAGGGCCTGTTCTTTCTGGGACAGTGGCAAGGGCTGTCCTACCATAAACTCCACCCCTTCCACCTCCCAGGCCTGACCTTGTCCTGAATCAGACTTCCTTTGTTTCCAGAATCCAACAACAATTCAAGGGAGCGTGCCTCGAAGCCCTGGAGGAGGGTGTCAAAATCGTCCAAATCAGAGCACCGTCGTATTCTTCCGGGAAGTGTTAGGAGATGGAAGCAATGCCTTTAGAAGTGCATGGACCTAGACGGCGGGTATATTGAGAACCGAAAACTTCACATCCTGCTAGTTTGTTTAATAACGGTTTCCATGATTTTGTGTGCACTCTCAGCATGTGGAAAGTGGGTAAGCATATTACCTTATTCACAATAGGAAGCAATTATATTCATACATAAAACAAGTATTTATTTCACTAAGAGAGATACAGAGCATAGAAGAGCTTATTGATTTATAGTTAAAGTCAATATTTAGAGAGTCCTACATCCTCTCTGAATTAATTAATTTGTGAAAATATTTGCACATACTACCAGCTGCTCCTCAGGAGAAAGGTAAGGCTTTACACTCCCCATCAAAGATTATAGTCAAAGACCCCCACAGGGCAGTTCTCCCCAGTCTTAGAGGGCCAACATAAGTTGGCATTGACTCAATGACAGTGGAATATATACATATACAACTTGCTGCTTTTGTTCCAAAGTCTAGACCCACATTTCTCATTTCTTTGTATATCCCTAATCAATTGTCATGCTCAGTAGAAATAGAAGTAGAATATATATACTACTGTCAATAAAAATTGTCATGATAATAATAATAATAATATCTTCTTAAATAAAACAGTATTATGGGGATTCAGAAAATAGATAGCCTTTGCTGAACAAATGTATGTAAAGTACCCACTAAGTAATGGCCACATAGATATTCAAATAATATTAATTTCCTCCCACTTGGCTACATCGACAACATGAAAAAATTCATCGATGAAAGTCAGACAAGATTTTGGCAAGTGAAAAAGTGAGGCAAATTCATACCAGATAGATAAAGGAACCGAACAAATGCACTAATAGATGGAATTCATCAAGGATTTTCTCTTGCTTGGATCCACACTCAGTGCTCATGGAAGCAGCAGACAAGAAATCAAAGGAGGCAATGCATTGGGAAACCTGCTGCACAAGACCACTTTAGAGTGCTGACGCGCAGGGAGGCTACTTTGGGGACTAAGGCGTCCCTAAATCAAGCCATGGTACTTCCAGTTGTCTCATAAGCATGAGAAAATTGGATATTGAAGAAGGAAGACTGAAGAAAAATTGATGTAGTTGAATTATGCCGCAGGTGAAGAATATTGAAAGTATCATAGACTGTCCAAAGAACAAACATATCGGTCTTGGAAGAAATATGGCCTGAATGCTCCTAGAGACAAGGATGAGGAGCCTTTATATCACATACTTTGGGCATGTTGTTAGGAAGAGACCAGTCCCTGGAGAAGGACATCATTCTTGCTAAAGCAGAAAAAAAGAGGAAGGCCCTCCACAAGATAGACTGACCCAGTGGCTGCCACCCTGGACTCACGCATAGGGACCACAGTGAGAATGGCTCCAGACTGGGCAGAGTTCCAGTGTGCTGTGCAACGGGTCGCTGAGCGCCCAAACTGATCGAACTGCTAAGCAATGCTTTCATCAGAGAAGGATCATTGAAAGAGGTATTTTTTTAAAAAGAAAAGCTAGTAGTGGAACTGTCGATGAATCAAGCAGAAAAATCAGCTCTGCTACAGTTATTGTTGTTGCTCTTGTTGTTAGGTGTCATTAAGTCGGTTCTGACCCATAGTGACCTTACACACAACCAAAGGACCCTGCCCG